AAAAAAAAAAAAAAAAAAAAAAAAAAAAAAAAAAAAAAAAAAGTAATATATTGATGTTTGAGAGGTAAGATTAAATAGTGACTGTTAATAGTCACAGACTAATGAGAAAGTACTAAATTTTATTTGGCTGTTTGTTTTCTTTAAAATTGGCTCTAAATTATCTCTAAAATTAAATTTAAAAATATTTTATTTCTTAGCTCAGATGGTTAGAGAGCAGTGTTGTAACATCAAGGTCAATGGTTCAGGTCCCTGTACTAGCCAGCTGCCAAAAAAAAAAAAAAAAAGATTATTTTGGTTTACAAAAGCAAAGTCTACTAAATTGTTATGTGGTCAGAGACAGCTTAAGAAGAAGGGACTGCACATATATTCAGAAAATACAGCACTAAAACACCATCAACAATATTTCAAACATATAACTACAATCATTCCTTCCTTCCTTCCTTCCTTCCTTCCTTCCTTCCTTCCTTCCTTCCTTCCTTCCTTCAGTCTATGTAATTAATTCTTGTTCTGTGGTATCTTGCGTTATCAGTTTTATGAAGCCTCTGCATCGCCACTAAAATTTCTGAAAATCTGAATGCTTGGATTTTAAGCAAACTAATTGTATTTATTTTGAAAAAAAAAAAAGGGTGACTCAATAAATAGTTAATATGTGAACAATAAGCCCTAATTCATGCAAAGCCCATGAGACTGCAGCTACCACAGCATACAACAGAGCCTCTCCCATTTGCAAATACTTAGAAGGAATTAAGTATCCTCCAAATTTAAGCTGCCCTTGATACCTTAATACATAATTTTAAAAACATTGTTCCATATGTCCGCTCTCTTCCACAGGTGCTCATGGTATTAGCATGGAGAGGATCAGTACAATTTTGTCTCTGTGGGAGCTTCTTGCTTAGAGATCTTGTGTCGAAGACTTACTGGTCAAGAGTGATCACATCTTGGTGGCCTCTGAACTGTCGAGCCAGGCGTAAGGCTAAGTCATTGGCTTCAGATCTATGAAGGTAACATAGTAGAGAGAGGGGGCAAGATGACATAATCTCCTTTTAAAATATTTCAAAATGTTAATTATAAAAGTTGTAAGATTACACTTATTCAGAAATTTATAAAGTAATAAGTTGTAGTCCTTTCCTTCTCCTTCAATCTCGCCCACCCCAAAATCTCACTTCATCTTCTAATACAAGTTCCACAGATGTGTTTATAAAGAAATAGAAGTACAGAACAAACCCAATAAAAATTAAGGACATGCTGTCCATTTCAAACTTTAGCACAGTTTAGCCACATCAGTAGGTGACTAAGTTTGAGGACACTAAGAAGCCTGCATTAAGATTCATCTCAACCGGAGGAATGAGAGTCTGAGGTCCACTAGTTTGGCTACTAATATTTGCTTAGTTTTCTTATCTATAAAAATGAGAATTATCTTTTCTATCTAATTCAGAGTCTAAATATACTACCCAGACACAGAGGAAGAAAATAATCATTTGTGGAATATTTACTATCTGCTATACATCATGCTGAGTATTTTATTTGTTTTTATTCTCATAACATTTCTACAGGGCAAGAATTGCCATCTCCTTTTTATGGATAAGGAAACAGCCTCAGAGAGGTTAAGTAACCAGAACAAGGTCTCACAGCTAATGAGAGGTAGAGCCAGGATTCAGACTGAAGTTTGTTTAATTTCAAGACCATTATTCTTTGTACTATTATTTTTTGTACTGGATGAGCTCTGTCACATCCAGTCTTTGGGGACAGTCCTGTTTGGAACTAATCCCTCTCTGACAGTTTAGAATTCTTTAGAAACAAAAGTCAGGGCTGGCCAGTTAGCTCACTTGGTAGAGCAAGGTGCTGATAATACCAAGGTCAATGATTCAGAATCCCATACTGGACAGCCACACACACACACAAAAAAGTCAAATATTATATTTCATTTATTAACGAAAAGAATGGTTTATAAAAAAGAATGGTTTATAACAGCAAATTAGATGCTAAAACATCTTTTTAACTCTTTACAAAGAAAAAAGGACAATCTTCTGGTTATAAATTTGGTTTTAAAATTTCATTAAAAAATGAATCACAGAAAATTATATAATCAAACATTTATAGAATTTCTAATAGTTAATTTTAATACATATAAATTATTTTTTAAAAAGGGTTTATGGGCCGGCCCGGTGGCGCACTGCTACAGTGTGCCGCTTGGGAGTGTGGTGGCGTTCCGGCCGAGGGTTTGGATCCCATATACAGACCGGTTCCCGCTCACTGGCTGAGCGAGGTGCGGGAGCAACACCGAGGGTTGCGATCCCGTTGCCGGACACGAAAAAAAGACAAAAAGGAAAAAAAAAAAAAAGGGTTTATGCTGTACAGTTTTCTTCCTTTTAGATTGCATTTTGAGCTTCCCATCACTAGGCACATATTTTCAAAAACGTATTTTTAAATATCCGCATTATATTCTAAAGAATGGATATATAATAATTTGAATTTATAGAATTTAAAAGATGGAACGTATCTATTCATTTGAATTTCCTTCTTCCTTCCTTCCTTGTGTTTGTGCTGGGGGAAAATTCTCAATTTCCTTCAGAAAACAAAATCAAAAACATCTTACAAAAGTTATAGCTTGTTTAGTAGAGCTATGTCTTTGCTAAAATTTCTCACTCGTGCTTTGAAAGGTCTTGGCCTACCCATTTTTTAGCTATTTTACTGCCTGAAGAGGTGAGGAGAGCATCATTTGATGGATTAGGTTCAAGTCATGTGATAAAGAAACGGAAAGGTCAGCCCCTAATGTGTGGTCCCTGAGTGAAAGGCAAGAATCTCAGCAAACCTTTTCAGACATCTATGCTCCACCACGAATCAAAAGGAAAGGTGTGCGTGACAGAGTAGACAGTTAGTGGGAATGGGGACGAGTGGGAAACCTCGACACATACCCTGAATTTGTGAAATAACAAACAGAGAGCTTCTCCGGCAGGGTTGCTGAAAGGCGCTTGGCATACTCGACAATGTTGTCATGGAGGAATCGAGAATTTGTATTTAATACTTCCATCTGTTTCAGAGCAGCTTTGACCACTTCTGGATGGCAGTGTCCCACTAAAATTTAGGAAACAAAAGCCCAAGAAATGTTACAATTCTAAATGCCTGGGAAGTGAGGGGAATTCTGAAGCAAGAAAAAAAAAGTGAGTTTTTTTCTTTTCCACATTTGGCTGCAACTTTTATGGTTGGACTACTGGCCCCTCAGGAAAGAAACTGCAGCCATTGCAACTCCTGAGACAAAAGTCGCCTTACTTCATAAATGTTTCCTTCAAAGCAGTACAAAGAAAGGACATTTACCATGAGCAACGTTGTTGATGCAGTCCAAGTACGGGTCACCGTTCTCATCAAACATGTACTGCCTCTGGGCTCGCACTATTTTGATAGGATCCGCAGCAAAGAAAACTTTGCATGAGGGCCTAGAAATAATCAAAGGAAATGCTTTGGTCTGGTAGGACTACTCAGTATTTTTCCTTCTCAGTGAAGGTCACCATCAGTGGAAAATTACAACCACATAAAGGAAAGGGAAAAGACAACCTGGGTGACATACATTTTTTTTTCATTTCATATCAGTGTGGAAACTTTTATCTTAATACCCCATTTGTGCCACTGCTCCCATTTCTTATGCTTGTTATATTAAATTTGCCATGATTTGATAACTCTATTTCAACTCTCTGACAGCTCCAATCACACAAATCATGAACTTATTTTCCTTCGGGAAATTTTGTTCTACCAGAAAAAAAAAACAAACTTTGTTTTTGAGTCTTACTATGGATCAGAAACTGTTGCATAGTCATATTTTACAAATATTATCTCACCTAATCCTCCCAACAATCCTGTGAAATACGGGTTATCATCACTCTCATTTTTGTAGGTGAGGAGAGTGAGGCACAGAAAAATTAAAAACTTGATCGAGTTTACACAGCCAGTAAGAAAACCAGAATTTGAAAATAGGCTGTGTTATACCATAGCCCAAGATAGAGTGCTCTCTGCTCTTAATTTAATCTATATATTTTTTAAAAGAATAATACTAAAAGCTAAATACAAATAACTTAGAGTTAAATACTATGAAAGAAATTTTATAGGAGCTCATTTTTATTTCCATGTATTTTGAGTGGTACTTATCCTGTATCAAATGGATTTTCCATTCTTAATGAAATTCAATTATTCTTCTAACCCTTTTGAGCATAATAAAAAGTCATCCATATTTTTTAGTTATTTGTATAAGTGTCTGGAGTATAAATTTTAGCAACATATAAACATCACAAAAGTTTCTAATCCTGCCTCTATGGACATTTAAGAACTTAAGCTGAATACATATTTTTACTTTGGTGATTTTGCATATACAACGGAACCCCACATGCATTGGAGGTATTTGGGTGATAATTAGATACATATTAAATTGATATGCAATAGTTCAGAAATTATTTTGATTACTATGAACAGTAGGCAACCTCAAATTTTAAAATTGCTTAAGGTTGTGTTATACACTGATGTTGGCTTTCATCATTATCAGCTAAAATGAAAATAATATTTAATGAGAATTTACTATTGGTTCAAACTCAGCTGTTAGTTTATACCTACAAGTTAAAATCCAAAGAAAACTTCTCTGTTATGAACGTGAGCTGAAAGCTGCAAACTTCACCTTGCCCTTTTAACATATTTTCCATCTTGCCAATCAGACTTCAGGTAAAATTCCCTGTCTTCCAGTCAGTCCATGGCTACATTCCTTCTCTCACAGAATTTGTTCTGTTCACCTCAGAAATCATTAGGTTTTCACTGGAATCTAACTATACAGGATGAAGACTAGTGGAATGAGTGATCAGATAAAGTTGGGTGGTGATTAGCCAATGGGGAAGGAATCTGACCATTTTGACCCCACCTGCGGGATTGAGAGAGATCTAACTAGTCCCCTAAACCATCCAGAAACCTCCCTAGTTGAGGTGAGGAGCTTCAGTATGAGAAACTGCGCAGCACTTCTCGGAAGAGGATACTTCCTCTTTTCTTTCTATTGTCCCCAGTCCCCTCTCATGGCCACCAACCGGTCCAGTTGCTACAGTTAATTGCATACGCTATTAATATTGCGGACCGTTGATTTTACAGTGCCAGCGGTCACCAATAGCCAAAATCATCATTCATATTTACATGTATCTTTTTAAAAACCAGACACAATGATAACTCCAATGTCCAGGTTTCTTTCCCTTTACCGGCCAGCCGCCAAAAAGCAAACATAAAACAAAAACCAGACACAAAAGATCAACACACATTAATCTCATTAATAAGTGAGATTATCAATGAGATAACTTCACTCTCGTGAAGTCAAATGTTATTCCTACTTTCATAGAAGAGGAAATTAAATTGACAGAGGTCACACAGGTAACACGACACCCAACTAGGACCAGAGCCCAGGTCAGCCTTGTACGCTCACCATTCTATCAGTACGTCGTGTATCACACGGGCAAAACAAAAGCAGAGTGGGGAGAACACAGCGTTTTAAAATCGAAGTAAGGGCACTGCTTGGGTGACCGAGGTGGATAAAGCATCTGCTAACTGAAGTCCAGGCTTTTCTAACCAAAGGTGGTTTCAAGTTTATCTCCTAGCTAGATTAACCCTTTGCTTCTTAACCAAGCTTGCAGAAGAAAAACATCACTTTAAGCAAATGTAGCCAGAATTAGTTTGTTTTAATAGCCAGCATCAAAAATATTTCTGAGTTCAGAGGTGCTGATAACACCAAGGTCAAGGGTTCGGATCACCTTACCCGCCTGGCGCAACAAAACAAAACAAAACATTCTGAGTTCCTATTTTTCAAAAGCTTTCGAGTTGGATGGAGGTGGCGGAGAGCCACCCATCTCCGTCCCAGCGCCCATCCCGGGAAAGGTGATGTCCTCCTGCCGCCGGCCGCAGACCCGCGGGACGTGTTCGCGCGCGTAGGAACGCGACCCGGGCTCCCTGGCGCAGGCTCCAGACCCGTTTGGGAGCCCGCGGGGCCAGGGGCGGTGGCGGTGGCGCGGCGGGGCGCGCGTGCGCAGGC